ATAGGGGCTCACACAGGAGAAAACATGAGGGCTGCTCTTGAGCTCATAGCCAGCGGGAAAACGATTCGAAAGGCAGCTAAACGTAGAGAACTTCCTTATGCAACCCTAAGGAGATATTATTGGAAAACAAAAAATGCACGCGAAGGTCATAAAGTCAGCATACTTCCTTACTATGACATAAATAAGATTTTCAATGCGGAACAAGAAGAGGCATTGAAGAAATATTTAAAAAATTGTGCTTATCTCTTCTATGGCTTAACAAATAAAGATTATCGCAAATTAGCGTACGAGACGGCAATTATCAATAATATACATATTCCAGAGCCCTGGANACCATTGGACCATGGTTCCACTTCCAGGTGCAACAATTCCTTCTACTCTTTCAACATAGACTTCTCCGGTCTCAATATACGCTAGCTCTTGAAATTTAATTTGCCTCTTCTCTATGTCAACTTTTTTATATTTTCCAAATGTGAAAATTAGTAAATTGTTTTCGAAATATCACTTCAAGGAGGACCTTCTTAATTTTGATTCGAAATAATATTCAATTTTTGTTTCCACTTTTAAGAAGTTTATTTTCGACAGTATTCAACCAATTTAGTACTTGCATCGAGTACGTACATCAGAAGTCTTCTATTTTAACTTGTATGTGAAGTTATAAAAAAACAATAAACTTTTTTGGAGTAATTTATCGTTTCATTTAAGCTATGAACTATGATTCACTGTGTACTGGATGGTGGTTCACTGTATCCACATCATCGTACACAGTGAACCATGTCACGTTAAAAAAAAATAAAAACTATTGAAACATTCAATGAGTTCACAAATGATCATAGATATAAAGTGTAGAAACTCAGGACACTTCATTCGATAATTTTTCTATGGTATTTTCATGAAAATGAATGAGCACTGACACTTCAGATGAAAACTAGTTCACTGCTGGACAGTTCACCCTACTCGAATGATCCATAAATAGTCATCTCTCGGAGGAATTAGTCCAGTCATCCACCGAAGACGAATGAGGATACAAATAGTCAAACGTCGTGAAGTAACTTGGTTTGGAAACTCTTAATTTTTATTTGTTCAATTGTTCTATCTTTTACTTGTCATTTCATTTCACGGGTTTTTTGCTTGAAATAGTTGTCATTTCGGCTATTCTTTTTAATTTTTCATTTGTATCGGTTGTTTTAGGGATTTCAAATCATTTTATATAATATTAGACAATGGAAGTCTGAACTATCGAAATTCTTCAAAAGAAAAATTGTCAATCACCTTTTAACAAACGATGTTTTTTCTCTTCCCAAGAAATTTCTTACTTCTTTGCATAAACAAGGAGAGGTAGGAAACAAAAAAGCTTTTTTTCTAAAAAAAATAATCGCTCATACGAATGTTTTCCTTCCAATTTGAAGGATTCTCTCTCTCTGTTTTGATTCTATCAAATGTATTGACAATGTATATAATAATATCATCTCAGGAAATTGACATGGCAATTCGCTATATCGGTACAAGAATAAACGACAAAGTAGACAGAAATAAGAAATAATGATCTAGGAGTCATTTCAAGAGAAAATAATCAGTTTATCTATTATGGAAATGAGAGAAATATAATTTATATCAGTGCAAAGGAAAATTCTACAAACTGAGCGTTACTTGAATTCAAAACATTGGTTGTTAGCATATTCATCAACATGAAATTATTGGAATCGTAATTGCTGAACGTCATATTGAAGATGAATCNGCGGGTAAAAGATAGTTTTATATAAAATGATTCCAAATCTCTAAAAGATCCAATAGCTGAAAGTAACTATTATATTGAGCAGAAAAACCCTGAAATAAAATCACAGTGATATAAAATACAAGTGATAATGGAACAATTAAACGAAAAATAAAAAATGAAGAGATCCTAAGCCAAGTTACTTCACGACGTTTCGATTGTTAGTATCCACAATCGTCTTCGAGAAATGATTACTTATGGGTCATTCTTGTACTTTCACTCATCCTCCTCTTTCCTCTTTCCGCTTCACCTGTTTAACGGAAACGTATCTCTACACTAGCTTGGCTGAATACATTGTTTTGACAAAATGTATGCGACAATGTATTCAGCCAAGCAAGCGTAGAGATACGCAACATATGGAAACCCATAACCAAGCGAAAAATGGTCAACTACCGCCAAACGGTCATCTCCCACTAAACCAGTGAAGCGGACAGAGGAAAGAGAAGATGAGTGGAAGTAGAGTAGACTGCCCAACAGTGAACCCTGTCCCACATTGGATCAGTCAAGTACACTGCGCAGTTGCTTAAATAAAACTCAAAACGATTGCCGTGGTTGAAGTGTCTACCATCGGACTACCCTTCAACCTATTAGTATCGCTCGAAAATTTGATTGAGTAGGTTCTATGAAGTGCTTTGCCCAGGTACGTAAAAAAGAGAATTCTTTCAATATTTTTGTGTCAGCTAGATAACCACACCTTGTCAACATGATTTTGAGATTTCGTATGGATAGTAGTTTTATGTAGGACATTGATCAATAGCAAAAGCCTAATTAAACAAATGGTTAATTCTTATTCCTAGCCAATGTTTTTGTACCTTCTGTGCAACAGTGAACCAAAGGAGAAATTACACAGTGAACCATTGGTTCACTGTGTACCACTGGACTTCTGTAATTGTTATTAACAAAACGTGCAGAATGCAGAAAAAATAGGGGCTCACACAGAAGAAAACAAGAGGGCAGGTCTTGAGCTCATAGCCAGCGGGGAAACGATTCGAAAGGCAGCTAAACGTAGAAAACTTCCTTACGCAAGCCTAAGGAGATATTATTGGAAAACAAAAAAAGCAGGCGAAGGTCACTTCCTAACTATGACATAAATAAGATTTTCAGTGCGGAACAAGAAGAGGCATTGAAGAAATATTTAAAATATTGTGCTTATCTCTTCTACGGCTTAACAAATAAAGATTATCGCAAATTAGCGTACGAGACGGCAATTATCAATAAAATACATATTCCAGAGCCCTGGAAAAAAATGAACACAGCCTTTAGATGTTGGATTATTCAAGCCATTCAAAACATTTTATAATAGTGCCATGGAATCTTGGATAATGAGAAATCCCAGCCAACCAGTATCAATTTATGAAGTGGGAAGTTTGATCGGTGAAGCATACCTGAGAACTATGATACCCACCTCGATAGTGAATAGCTTCAAAGCAACCGGAATTGTTCCTTTTGATGAAACGATTTTTACAGAAATCGACTTTTTACCTAGCACAGGTACTGACCATCCACAACCTGCGGAAATTGATTCTACCGCTGTTGCGGCGGACAACATATCTATAGATATGGATCCCGATTGTTCAGAAAAAGAAAACATCGCTCCTCAAGAAAATTCATCACTAAATGAATCATGAAATATAGATCACAGAAAATTCATAGATCCGACCGAATTCAGCCCACCTTTCAAAGCAAAACCNGGTGGATCCTGTTTTCCTTACAATTTGAAGGATTCTCTCTCTCTGTTTTGATCCTATCAAATGTATTGACAATGTATATAATAATATCATCTCAGGAAATTGACATGGCAATTCGCTATATCGGTACAAGAATAAACGACAAAGTAGACAGAAATAAGAAATAATGATCTAGGAGTCATTTCAAGAGAAAATAATCAGTTTATCTATTATGGAAATGAGAGAAATATAATTTATATCAGTGCAAAGGAAAATTCTACAAACTGAGCGTTACTTGAATTCAAAACATTGGTTGTTAGCATATTCATCAACATGAAATTATTGGAATCGTAATTGCTGAACGTCATATTGAAGATGAATCGTAGTTACTGTATGTCAGATTGATTCTAACATGATTTCAAGAGAATTATGTGTTCTCAGATTTTCCGCTGATAGTGAGTTACTTCTGAATAATATAATTATTGTGGAGATGGAGTTATTGTTGATAGAATTATTTCTCATGAACAGTTCATAAAGTTAGTTTATGAACATACACCAGTCTTTGAAGAAACAAGAAAAAGCTTGTGCGATTTATGACCTATTAATTTTGTAGAAATTCATATCGTATACAAGATAAGGAAAATAATTACTGAGATTTATTCAGAAATTAGGCTCAGTTGTTTTCTTTATCCTATATTCAACAAAGAAGAATCATATTCTGTTCATCTATCAACTCTACCTTCTGGGACCTAGTAAGAAGATTAGGAATACCCTTCTGTTCTACATTACATGTATACACACTTTTATTCACGATTACTGTATAGGCAAATCCACCACCTACTGTTATTCACACATTATAAGTATATAAACTGGAAAACTATTGACAGGTAACATTCTTCAAGTCGTTCAGATGACCAATACTTTCAGTTAGCATGTGAAAATTTTGAGGTTAATGTTTTCATAGTAAGTTTCAAAAACAAGCTAATTTCACTACTTCTACAAGTGAATGTATCCTGGATCCTGACAAATGATTAAAAAATATCCCACCATAAATGATAATCGATTGGTTTCAGAAACTTTTTTCATTTGAATCTTGAATGAATATTAAAAACATTAATTAAGTAGATAGCTCATGTGACATTTGTTTCGACATAACACATGGTACATTTAGGTGAAATGAAACACGTATAACCTTACTTAAATAGTGGACATATATACATTCAATGGTATTCAAAAAAGAATGAAAATCATTGAATTTGCTTCAAAGCTGCATTCTCATTTCACTATATTTTCTATTCAGAATTAACAAACAATAACAAATTTTGTATGATTTTTTAACAGTATTCCGAGAAAAACCCAAATTTCATCAATCTTATATCATCAACGATTCAGTCATTACAACGCCATTATCAAACTGATTCAAACTTATGAACAAGAATAACTTTGGTGACAATTTTTTTTTTGTTCAATACAACTCAACATCTTTGGCTTGAAAAATAGGTAACTAAATATCCGAAATGGTATGATGTTTGGAATGAAAAGATTCATCTGAGTAATGTGTCACCAACAATTTCTTTGAAAAATACAAAAAAATCCTTGATCCCTGTCCAATCTTTTTTAAACAGTGAAAACTGTGGAATTCCATTCCAAACATTATCCCGAAAACTGTAGCAACATTATTGTTAGTTCCATTATATCTCTCACTTAACATAGTTTTTGGCAATTTTGTTATATACAATACACTAAGACTGAATACAAAATCCTACTGAACTTTTTACAGCGCATACTCTAATTTGCCGAAGACAAATTGAATCATGGATACTCGTTTCAAAGTGTACAAAAACAGCACCATCGTTTAAGTATTCAAACCTAGACACTAGTAGCGAGCTCAGGACTACATCAAAAACTCGTAGTGGTGAGCCTGCTACTAGTCAAGTCTACTCAGAGACTGGAACCGTACTCAGAACACCTTCTGTCGACGTGTTTGAGGTAGGTTTCTGAGTAGACGCTTCTAGTTCTGTCTTCGTACCTTATCGAGGGCCTCCTATTATCTATAAAGTCCAGATTGGAAGGGGAACGTTTACACAAACTACAGAACGCACACTGCAGGGTGTTTTTGAAGGCTTCCCTGAAGTCTCTGTTGAAGTAGGCGTAGATTAGAGGGTTGAGCGTGGAGTTGAAGTATCCTATCCAGAAAACTACTGCAACTACTTCTTTGGGGCAGTGTTCGCGACAGGAATCGCAGAGATACACAGTGTCATACCACGTAAAGAAGGGCAACCAGCACAGTATGAAGGTTCCCATTATAATTCCTAAAGTCCTGGCAGCTTTATGCTCACGCTTCATCTTGGAAATGTTTCTCTCCTTTGACGGCGTATGGTGCAGGTCCTGGTTGATCTCGTGCTGCGTCAGGGTCTTGGAAGACCCTCCCGAGTTGGACAGCATGTCTCCGTTGGTGTTATTTTGGTGCAAGAGCTTAGCGGCTCCGTGTCGATTGTACATCTCCTTCTCTTGCTTATTGGCTTCTCGGAAGATAGAAAGGTACATGAAGATCATGATGGTGCAAGGGATCCAGAAAGAAATGCTGCTGCTGATCACAGCGTATGGCTTGTTTACGATGAACTCGCATATGTCGGGATGGTTGTTGCGGAACTCCTGGTTCTCAGTCGTGGTGTACCATCCAATGAAAATGGGGAGGAAGCTCAAGACGGCCGGGCTCAGCCAGGTGTTGAGGATCATCAGAGCAACGACCTTCTTAGTCATGGTAAGGGTGTATTTGAGGGGCTTGACTATTGCGTAATACCTATCAACACTGATGCAGCAGAGATGAAGGATGGAAGACGTTGAAAAGTAAACGTCCAGGGAGTTCCAGACGTCGCACATGAAGTAGCCAAACTTCCACTCATCGTAGATCTGCACGCTGGCATTGAAGGTCATTGCAAACATAGCTACCAACATATCGGCCAGCGCTAGGGATATCACATAGTAGTTGGTTATTATCCTGAGCTTTCTGTGTCTCATCACCGAAACTATAACCAACAAGTTACCAAAAATCGACGCAATGATAATAGAACCCATGATGGTTGCCTTGATGAAGATGACGAAGTCGTCCGTCCATTCTGTTTCGGGGAGGGAACTGGTGTTGTTGTGAGACAACGAACCGTTGGTGTCGTTACCCATATTTTGTTTCAGGCTGATAGAGGACGTTTATTGACGAGTTTTCGAATGGACGTGACGCAAATTGATCTGCGGGGAAGCATTGTTCATGTTATTGCGGTTTGTGGTTTTACTGCAGTGAAGGGTGATGGATGGGCTAGAAGTCCTCTTGAGGGGTGATTTCACGCGAAGGGGTGGATCCTGTGTCTGTAACAAAGAGAATGAATTATTTTAACGGTGATCCTGGATACGGGCGAAATATAATTTATGGGGCAATTTGCTAATACGTGGGTAAAATGATAACAGTCACGGGTTATGAATGTATATATTGTCAGTTGTTATGAAAGCACCGATTTGAAACATGAAGTTGCGTTCTTCTTCTTTCCGGAGGACCACATTTTGTATTTGAACGGAATGAAACAAATTGGGCCGTTTATACAGAAGGTGATTCCTAATCAAAAAAAAGATAGGATCTTTCATACGAAGAAATTTCATTGGAGCATCCCTTGTTGAGATATAGCCTCTTAAAGGGGTTACATAAAATTTGTATAACAATTTTTTTCACAAGCACTAAAGAAGTTACAATATTGAAATTATCCTGACGTTTTGTACTACCAAAAAGACACTTAGCCAGAAATTTATTTGGTTTACCCCATGGTTGTAAAATTGATTTCCAATGTAACTTTTTGTCTCATTATTTGTTTACCATCTGAAATTTTGTTTCCTATAGTCTGTTTCATTCTAAACAAAAAATGTGTTTTGGGTTTTTTGTCCAAAATAAACCAGTTCGCAGCAAAAAATTATTTTAGGAACAACTACAGAGATACATCGTCATAAATGCGAAAATACGAAACTAATCTATCTGGTAGGTCGCTAGCGATAGTGACAATTAAATTGCTATGACGCTGCCAGTTTGTGTATTTTCGAAATTGAATTAATACTAACTGTGTGTTGTTGTTCTGCTCATGATTTGTTACTTTGATAATTCACTTGTTATTAAAATGGCATAACACAAATGAGGAAATTGCTGAAATGCTTTACGTTTACGGTCTATCACAGGGGAATGGGTTAGAAGCTTGTAGAAGATATGCTGAAATGTATCCTCAACGGCAGCATCCTTCACATAGAATATTTACTCGACTTCATCAACGATTACGAGAATATGGTTCATTCGACAAAAGAACGCAGAATTGTGGTCGCCATCGAGAAGTACGAACACCACAGGTTGAGGAAGCAGTACTTAATTTGATTGAAAAACAACCTACTGCCAGTACTAGAAAGATTGCTTCTCAGCTAAATGTTGATCATATGACGGTATTTCGAATTTTAAAGGAACAACTCTTATACCCTTACCATCTGCAACGAGTACAGGCACTGTACAGGCACTGAAGAAATTGTGACTTTCTGAAGACGATAGAATTCACAGACGAATGTAGTTTTTCTCGGGACAAGATTATTCATTTTCATAATTACCACATATGGGCTGATGAAAACCCTCACGCTATTGTCGAAACTAACCATCAAGAACAGATTTCCCTTAACGTGTGGCTCGGAGTTATTGGGGATGATTTAATTGGGCTTCATTTTCTACCTCCTCGATTTAATGGTGAGGCATACGTTCAATTTTTAAGAGAAATGCATCCAGTACTGCTGAAGGAAGTTCCTTTGGGCGTCAGAAAGGATATGTTTTCAATGCATGATAGGGCTCTTGCCCATTTTAGTCAAGTAGCACGTCAGAATTTGACTGAAACATATGCAAATCAGTGGATAGGTCGAGGAGTACCACAGAACTGGCCCACTCGATCCCCAGGTCTCAATTCTCTCGATTTCTCTATTTGGGGCCATTTACAGCATTTTGTTTATCGTATTCCTCGCGATGTAGAGGACTTAAGAAACCGCATCATCGATGCGTGCAGGGTAATCAGAGATACTCCAGGAATATTTGAGCGAATACGTGGCTCATTGCGCCGACGTCTAGACGCATGCGTAATGTCTGAAGGTAGACATATTGACCATTTTCTATGATTTCTACATGCTGTTTGTTTTGTTAAGAATAAATCAGATTTGTTTATTACCCTTCAATCGTTTAATGCAGGTACTAACTACAAAATAACAATAAATCAAGTTCACATTTATGACGATCTATCTCTGTAGTTGTTCGTAAAATAATTTTTTGCTGCGAACTGGTTTATTTTGGGACATTTTTTGTTTAGAATGAAACAGGCTATCGGAAATAAATTTCCAAATGGTAAACATATAATAAGACAAAAAGTTACATTGGGAATAAATTTTAGGGGTGGCGTTTTCCACCCCTTACAAACATGGGGTAAACCATGGTAGTACAAAAAGTCATGTTAATTTCAATATTGTAACTTTTTCAATGGTTGTGAAAAAAATTGTTATACAAATTTTATGTATCATCTGCATATCATTATGCAGATGATACTCATATAGAATCGATTCCCTCCAAGTAACTAGCAGGTGGCAATGGAAAAAATTAACAGCGATCTACAAAAGTTACTGGATCTATCTATAGCCCATAACCTGAAATTGAATTCTAAAAATTCTCAGCTGATAATTTTTGGAACGAAACACAAAAGGTGGGAAATTGAAGGAAGAATTGAAATCAAACTTGGACAAGACTTACTACAAATAATTAAAGTAAGCAAGAACCTGGGTTTGTGGCTAGATGATGATCTGAGACTTCACAAACATGTAAATTCACTTTGTCATAGCTTGTACAGTATCTTACGTCAACTCTATTATGACTTCCAAATTGAGGTTGAAACTTCACGAAACCCTCATATTGTCTAGATCAGCATATTGCGATATAATCTACGGGCCTGCTTTGATACAAATTGATGTGAATCACTTACAAAAAATACAAAACAATTGCATTCGTCTTTCTTATGGTGTGAGAAAATTCCACTACGGATTATCCACATAATTCAGTTACGATCAGGCGGTTAGTATCATGATTTCGGATTCCATATAGAGAATATTTGATTGCTGAGTTATCGGGGAGAGGTGTTAATGTTAATTGTTTTAGGGCAGTGGGTAGGCAATGACCAGAAATAGAAAATGATGGAAAGATTAGTTTCGGCAATTGACATTTGACTTTTGAAAATTCGCTTCGACTGAATCACAAGAATCTAATTATTAGTTGATGAGGCATAACAAGAGATTGAACTTTGAACCCCCATAACTCCGTTATATGGTTGTTGAAATTCTGAATTGCAAGTCAATTTGTTTTTTTTTGTCATTAGTTCGGGCTTCCATCGTCTAATCCTACTCCTACTTAATATTATGAATGTGAATGTAAGTTTGTTTGTTACAGTTAAATATATTTTAACATTTGTTATTGCAATTCAATGAAGCATATTTTGAATTTTCGAAACTTCATCGTATGTAATAATTTTAAAAAATTGATAATCCCAGCCAAGCATTAAAATATAGTTCTCACATTGATTCATTTTTATTGTACTGACACTTATTTAATGGCATAAATGCGAGCGGAGCCGAGAGTAAAAGCTAGTTTTCTATAATTTGTTGCCTGAGTCCAGTGTATTTATTTCAACTTTTCATTTTCCT